TCTTCCTGTCGATCACTATAGCGGCGACTTCCGGAACACTCCGGAGAGAGGCGGTGCGCGACGATATCTCACACGAGGTGAGGCGGGTTCCTGGAGCTCGACTGCTTCCAGGCCAAAGCGGTTTCCACTAGTGAGGTGTTTCCAAACGAGCGCGCGGGAAGAGGAGGTTGTAGTTCAACGACGACTGCGGCGGGAGAAGAGGCTCGCGCATCGGTCGCGCGTGTCTTATATATCCTCGGCTCGGGTGATTACGCGATGTTCTAGAATCGTCTTCTTTCCCCTCCCACCCCACCACCCCGATGTGTCGATAGGAGGGTACGAATGATATTGTTTGGAAAGGAATAATGATTCTACAAGTTCCTACCGTCAAATAAAAAACGTGAATGGTTTTCCGCGCAACCAATATTAATCATAACAATAATAATAATTAGTAGCAGATTTGTTATCGCACGGCGCGGTCACTCAAAACAATAATAATAATAGTATTTAAAAATAATCATAACAATAATAATAACTGTTGGCAGGTTTGTTATCGCACGACGCGGTCACTCGCTACTTTGGTAGGGAGCGATTGTGTCAGCGTGTATAAATAGCAACTGTTTCGACTCGCCGCTCACTTAGCGGTCAGCCGCCGTAGAGTCTATATTACCTGATGATGCCTCGTGTAGAGGCGAAACACGTGTCGTATTATCGTCGATGGTGTGTCTTGCCTGGAATAGTGGTGTTGAGAGTAGTGGTGCTTGGTCTAGTGGTGACGGAGTTAGTGTATGCAATTGAGGGAGGGCGGGAGGTGCGCTTCAATCCAGGTAAGACACATCATTTTATATGTTTAGCGGAAAGTTGCAAAGAAATTTATATTTTTATTTTTTAACAAAAGCCTTTGATAGGTCACAAAAGACACTGGCACATCTATTGGAATTGTCCAAAGATTCTAGAATTAAGTAAGTAAATTACTTTTCTTATGGCCATTTCAGTTGATCGTCCTTTTCTAAATCCAAATTGTGCCGTTGTAAATAAATGATTTTCTTCAAAGTAACTTACAATTCTAGATTTTATAATGGCTTCTAATATTTTTGATAAAGTCGGCAATATACAAACTGGCCTGTAGTTACTGAGCTCTGTGGAATCCCCTTTTTTGAAAAGTGGAATTACCCTACCTGGTTTGAGTACGTCGGGGAATATGCCATTAATTAAGCAGGAATCGACAACAGTAAATAACAACTCGAATAAATTATTGTTCTTTCTAATAAGATTTCTTAATAACGTCTATTTAGTAAATGTCTAACGTAGATTTTTGTTTCATACTAGTAACAACCTTTTTTAGCTCTGTATAATCTAATGGGTAAAAAGAAATAGATGTAAGTGGTCTATTTGAGCAATCTAAATACTTCATGCAGTTTTTGCGTCAACTTCTAAGTTGCTTGTTAATCGATGTGCAATATTGCAGAAAAAATCATTAAAACTTCTTGCAATATTATGAGATTCTGTAATAATCTGGCCACTATTGTTTCTTATAGATTCAATTTTAGATTGTGTGTTTTGACGTTTCTTTTGTCCTATCTGCTCATTTATAATATTCCACGATTCTTTAATTTTATTTTTTGCCTCCTTAATCATGTTACGATATTGTATTTTTTTTTGCGGATATCATTGTTTTTAGCAATAATTTCTTATATTTTTTAATTTTGAATTTTCTCTGTTCGCTAGGGTTAAAATGATAAAGAAATGGATGTATTCTTCCAACACACGCAGAAAGTATACCAATCACGTTGTCCAAAACCGCTAACCTTCTTCAGAGATTCTTAATAATCGCAGATGTCGTAGGTCGAGTCCGCGTAGTCGCTTCCCGAAATTGAGGTCATTATACGCGTCTCCAAAATAATTGATTCTCCGATCGCTGGCGCTCGTACAACATTTTAGGTCAATCTGGGTAATTTCAACATTTACCTCGTTCCACAGAAAAATACTAAAATACTCGCGATTCATAATACGTCAAAAGGTGAAAAGAGCTTTATTACCGTAGACATAAGGTTGCGCCTTGCTTACGTTAGTTTGAGCGTTGCTTATTCTTACGCTTATACAGTTTATTAACATCGCCAGTCGTATTTTCGGGACCGTTCTTGTACAACGGGATGCAACACGCAACTGGCTGTCGTAACATTCCTAGATAAGATCGTCCCGATCATCATTCGTGCTAGTTTCTGGTCTGGCCATGTCTATAGCAATGTGTTTCCGCGGTTGTACAATTTCAACTCTCCTCTACTTAATATTTGTAAGCCCACAACTAAAGCACACGTGGTGCATTTACGACACAATTTTTCAAAATCTGCGATCAGCGATATTCCTGGTTGCAGTAAGAACGGTCTCGTATTTTCATGATGGGTTTCTTTAATGTGAGATAAACACCTGAAACTCCGCGATGAATATGTCGCAATAAAAAATGCGCTTTACTTTGAGGGACAATGATCTGCATTGTAACATCATCATCTACACTAGACTCCCATTTTCTGCATAAAATTTTATTTTCTAGAGTCTAGATATCCTATTGAGCCCAATAATTGAATAACAGGACTATAGTACGTGCGAAATTGATTGAGAAAAACGTGCATTGACCTTACGGTCATTTAACCAGGGGCTACAAACCTTCAATATATAGGCACTTTTTATATGTAGTACTTTCTTTATTTATAATGATTTTTTTATGATTGATATAATATATATTTATTAACTATTATTAAAAAGTTATGTAAAAGATCGCTGTAGAAGAAAAATCATCTATTGTTATAAAGTACTTTATTGATTTAACAACAAAAAGCATTAATTTATAACATATATAAAGATTCGAGCGATAACGACACCGAATAAGTACGTACTTATTCAAAAGATAAAACATTATTTTCAATATTATATAAGAACTTTATTTTCATTCGGTGCATGCGGACCGGCCCAAAAAAAGTGACGCATGTCTGGCTGCCATTGTCATATTTTTTTTAGAACGAACTGACGTAACGCGCGTTTTGTGTATTTTAAAGGGATGAATTTGCAAAAGGTCAATATGGTGATTATATTGCCCTAAATATTTTTTTAATATGAAACTGTTATTAAATGAATTGCTGCGTTACTTACCATAAATTGAAATATAAAATATAACACATTTTTCGCGATGTACCGTAAAATTTTACGATGTTTATAGGAACCACAAACAATATTATTTAAGAAACAAAGAAACAAAATATTTGCTGACCTAGAAGTGTGAATAATATCAATATTTAAATATTGTTATCACATCTAAATTGAGATTTTGTAAGTTACACCTTTTCACACTCGGCTCACATCTGAGGTCATTGTCCGTTTTTCTCAATCGATTTAGCACGTACTATAGAGGACGATACGTCTTCTCATTGAGGTTTTCCTCTTATATTCAACCATACTGGAATGATTCGCAGGTTTTCATCCTCCTCTTCACCCTTTCTCATTTTTTCTTTACTCCACTCGCCGTCTAACCGTGTTAACCGTATAGTGGCCATGTAGGAATACCCACTACCCCTTATCGTCCCGAGAGTGTCGTAAGAGGCGACAGAGTGAAAATGAAACAGGCGATGCGCAGCAGCATCTTCCCGATAACAACTCAAAATAATGTTGTAATGGAATGGATGGACTTGTTGTCTATTGCATTAATTTTGATGACGTTAACTTTTTTGTTTCCTCTTTTTGTTACGTTTATAGTCTTCAACGCGAGGTGTTCTTGATAAAGCGTCGGCGTAGTTATGGCCTTTGCCACTTTGATGGTCTGTTACAAATTCCTAAGTTGTTCAATTCACCGTGCAATCTGCTCTTGGAGGCTTTTAAATTGAAGCAATCATCAAAGAGCAGCATGGTCTGTCTTCACTGTAAATTATCTTTCAATGAGATATTTAAGGAAGTGCAGAAAAGTATTTACGACAGCTAGCAGTTTCCTACGCGCAGAAAGTTACAATTACATCTTGTGTTTGTGATAGCCCCTGTATTTGTGGCAAGCCCATTCCTGTATAATTAGCCTCTGTTTCCACTATAAACCATTCTCTGGTTGGATAGCCCAATATTGGTGATTTACACAACTGTTATTTTAGATCTTCGACGGAACTTTCTCAGTGCGCATTCCAAACGAACGCCTGCTTGTCTTCCGTCGGCCAGTGTAAAAGCTTGGCTGTGCTTAAAAAGTTCGTAACGAAACGTCTATAATATGCGCATGAGCCAAAAAATAATCTAACTTCGGTTTTGTTCTTCTGTGTAGGCCAAGCTTTTTTGGCTCCGATTTTATCTGGATTAGTTTGTATCCCTTCTTCTAAGACTTTTAAGTGTGTCTATGAGTTTTAAGTTTGCTAGACGAGTGAATACCAATTACAGGTTTTTCGGATGTTCTTCAAGATTACGACCCATTATGACATCATCCAGGTATACTAAGCAAGCATCTCCCAAAAGGCCCACCATAACTCTGTCCATCATGCGTTCAAACGTTGCAAGAGCAATGCACAGGTCGAATGGCATGAAATTGTCCTCTAATGGCTAATCTAGGAAAATTTAGACCTGCCAGTACCCACTTTTAAAATCCACCGTGGAAAACCACTAAATTCCAGCGAGTATATCCAGTGTGTTTTTTATTCGTGGTAGAAGACAGCTGTCTTTCTTTATTACATTGATAAGCATTTGGAAATCTATGCAGTTATTGGGTTTTTCTATAAAAAAACTTCTCAGTAGCAGTCCATAGTAAAGAAATTGGCGGTGTTTCACCCCCGTGCCTTGGAAAACACGTAAAGCCGTCGTCTAAGCCTAAGCATCGGACTATGAGAGTGAGGGAATAGATAGTGCACCTGTGCTTGGTCATCCACTTGGACCCTATAATCCATTCCTGCGCAGATGGCTAATCTCCGGTAAGACTAACCGCCGTGACGAAAATTCGGCCTGAAGGACATTATTATAGTCTACGCAGATCCACTCTTGTGATAGTTTGATGTTTTTAGGTATGGAGACCGCTGCTTCCACGACATGGTTCGTTTCAAGAATTCCGATCTCAAAATCGTGGGCTATGTTACTGAGACAATTATAAATCTGCAGGCAGACATTTGAAGTAGTGATGCAACAGAACTCCGTTTCTGTTTCCGCAACTGCGGAAGTTCTGCATGGTTTTTGACATCCGTTTCTGCTTCCGTTTCCGCAAGTTTTATAACGGAAGTTTGAACGGAACTCAGTGACACAGCAGCCACATTAGTAGAGGAGGGACGGAGGAGGGGGGGATCATTTCAGCCAATCACAAGTGAGCTGGGCACGTGCTTTCGGCACTGGTACCAACGGGTTTGTTTAGATACTGTTTTAACTTTATTATACGGCGTGACATGAGTGTAAGCGCGTAAGATTTTCTGTTACAGTATTTTTAGTTAATTAGTAATTTGAGTCGTGTGTGTAATTTAAGTACAATCATGAAGCCAAAAAAGAGTCCTGTTTGGAACTATTATGTTGAGATTGATGATTTAGCAGCCAAATGTAAATTATGTGACAAAATATACTCGCGAAAAGAACGCACAACTACCGCTTTAAAGAGCCATCTTAAAGCGATACACACCGAAGAGTTTCCAGTTCCTTCCAAAGTTAGTTGAAACTGTAAAACTTTCATCGCAAACTAAAAAACAAATGGTCAGTCAAGGTTTTTAAATTGGTCAATTGCATACCTATTGTAAAATGTATGCCATCAAAAACATATCTTGTAAAAAAAAAACCAAGTCTCGCAACTCAGTTCTAGCGTAAAAAATTGTGAGATCCATGTAATACCAAGTCGGTTAATTTATTCAGTCCCTACTTAAAGGTTCTTCTGTTTTAAGTTATTACGTAATTAGCTAACCTAACAACATTTTATAGTGACCACATCAATGTTAAAAATCTTTTATGTCTTAAATATATAGATTGACTTGGCGATCGCACTAAGCTATCTAATTTAATATAATATGTATTACTTGTGAGATACATTGTGTATCGGCATCTCATTTCTTTTTGTAAATAAGATAGTCTTACTTTTTCCTTTCCGGTACCTTCTACTTTTTGAATACCAACAACGTACCTATCTACACCTATTATACATATACAAGTACACTGATTCATTCACTGCAAGTGTAACTTTGTAAATCTATATATTTATATGGTATTACAAAGTTATTTATGCAGTTTGTGTATCTAGAAAATTGGACCGAAATAAAAAAAATATTTTAGTTTTCCCTTAATTTATACACTAAACACTAATTGTATTTTAAATTTGAAGCTTCTATGTCTGCTAGAAGTGCCTTAGAGTTTTGATGATCGGTCAGTCAGTGAGTGACAAAATTAAGAAACTTTGATTAGTTATAATTCTTAAATTACTGGTTCAAATTGAGTGAAATTTGAATTATACCATGTTTATACAATTCCTACTAGGTTACTGAAAATTGAAGATTCTAGTATTATCCACTACGAAGTTATAGGGAGTCAAAAATTGCCTGAATTTCTTCGAGAAAAGTATAGTACGGCCGTGCCGCTTTTTTTGATCGACCTGGCGATTCCCATGTTATAGTTAAACCCCGTTTTTAGTTAAAACGTGTTTTTTCCAGTAAAAACTAGTTTTTACTAAATGCCTTTGTTACAACGAAGATTTGTAAAATTAATTAGGCAGCAGTTATGTTAACGTATAGTTTATATTAATTATTTTTTACGTGAAGTTTATATTATTTATTTTTTACTTGTAGTTTATATTAATTATTTTAAAGACACTTTAATGAGTATTTTGGATTCAAAGTTCGTTTACGTCGTAATTTCGTGCTAGGGTTGTACTAAGTTACCTACTCGCTTAACGTAAATGCGGCTGTTTAAAGGGTCTGCCCATAATATGTCAGTGCCAATTTAGCTTTGATGTATACGCAGCATCGCCAGTGAGCAATTATTTAGCGGAGCTGGATTGAAGGACACTGGAACAGATTGTTAGGTGTAAAAGTAGCCGAACTACTTTTCATAAAATATAACATGCCGCTACTTAATTTTGAATGTTAATTAAAGGTTTTATTTGTAATTTTTTAATAAGTAGTATTTCCGTTCCGTTTCCGCATCCGTTTCTGTTTTCGTTTCTGCAAAAAAATATTTTTAACATCTGTTTCCGTTTCTGCTTCCGATATGACACTTCCGTCGCATCACTATTTGAAGTGCCTTCGATGACAACTGTTGCCATTGCATGCTTGTGTAATGCCTAACAATCTGGCGCAAAACTGTTATACAATGTGTTAATTTTACACTTGATCAAACGAAATGTGCGGATACTAGATAAAAAATTATCGGTAAAAAATCGAATTTTTTTTAATGTAAACTATTTAAAAAATAAAAGCATTTTAATATTTTTTTTTTGGTAAAATTCCTATCCTTCGGTTTTAAATTATTTTCTCTAAGTAAACGGTGTATTTTTTCAAAGTAGTTTTATTTGAAAGTTAGAAAGATTAACTAGCAATAAAAATTAAAAAAAAACCTACGATATCAAGCAGGAAATTTGTCTAAAAAAATAATAAGATAATTTTTTTTGTTAAAAAAATACTTTTCTTTTTAATTTTTGGTCTGTAACTTCAAAACTAGCACATTGAGGTAACTTTTTCAGCATGTTTTATTAGACTGCATGATTTACTCTACAAGTTCTCCAAAATAACATGGGTTCTATCTCTTGTCGTTGTTAAGATAATCACTAAAAATAAGGTAGTTAGGTAATCTGAGCACAAAATTCAAAAGTGATTTAATAATGATTTAATTGACAAAATTATGGAATGAAACAAAAAAACCGTAGATAAATGATTATTAAATTTTCAAAATGACCACCATTTTCATCCATACATACAGTTGCACGTAATGCCACACTACGTACTGTTTTTTTTAATACAGTACGATTTTCTTTTATTTGACTAGCCGCAGCCATTATTTTTTGTAACAATTCTTCTCTTGTACTAATTGGAGTACTGTACACAACCTGTTTCATGTGTCCCACAAAAATAAAATCTAGGGGGGTCATATCAGGGCTTCGTGCCGGCCACGCTACTGATCCGCCTCGTCCAATCCATCTGTCCGTATCGTTCGTTTAAATAATCACGCACGATGGCGCTGAAGTGAGCTGGAGCGCCGTCATGCTGAAACCACATCCTCCTCCTTGTTTGTAGATCCACATCACTCATCAGGTCAGGTAACTCTTCTTGTAGAAATGTTAGGTAAGCTGGGCCTGTCAACCTTGAGGGAAGAATAAATGGTCCGATTAAGTAATCACTTATCATTCCAGCCCAAACATTAATCGAAAATTCGATTTGAAAGGACGCTGGCCGAACTGCTAAGGGATTTTTTACTCCGACATCCACAAATGAAGGTTTCGAAAATTTGTGATTCCAGTTCTGTTAAAATTTGCCTCATCGGTCCACAAAATACGGTCACAGAAGTTAGGGACTAGTCGTCTTTGCCGTAATAGCCACGAACAGAAAACATTTCTTCCGACGTAATCTGGCTCGTGCAAATTCTGCACTCTTCAAAAATGTAAGGGGTACAAACATTCCTTGTTCAAAATTTTCCACACTTGGACGTGATTAATCCCCAATTGGAGTGCTATTCGTCGAGTACTAATTGTGGGGTCTTGGTACACCAAACGCAACACTTGTTCATTCACATCCACCGGTACAGTAGGAGCACGTTCACGATGTGGGCGATGCAGTCCATTTTCACTTAATTCTCGATGTACTGCTAAGAAAACCCTGTAGTCAACGGCAGGTCTTGTCGGGAATCGCTGATGATACTCTCGAGAGGCGGCGCGAGCGTTGCCATCACAAAACCCGTAAATGTAATGAATGTCGGCTACTTTACGAGCAGATAATGAGTCTAACGTGGAAGGCATAACGACGAAAAAAATGGTGAGCGTATTTAACGTGCAAATTTAAAATAATACGACGTGACGTCTTAAACATCTATGATCAACGAACTCAGAGTTGTACACAAACCCAAGCAAAGGATTACGTAACTTTCTTACTTACGTAAGTTAACAAAATGTTCCTGCTAATCTCTACTGAATGCACATAGCACAATTACACAGGAAGCCCATAGGATGGAAACTTCGAAAGAAGCGCATTGTGCCAGACACGAATACCTTCGCTATTACTAAACTAATGGAAATGGCCTCAACCTTGGACTCTACTGCCTCCGCCCATCTAAGAGGCAGGTAGACCAGATGATCAACAGCTGATCGACCCAGACGAAAACCGTATTGGCGGTCACTAATCAGCTGGTGATCCTCATGAGCTGGCAGTTTATAATGGATTCAATTATTTTTGAGAAAAAGAAGATGATGGCGATAGGCCTGTCTGGTGGACTAAAGTTATCTTCCATAAATTCAGGACTACGCCTAGGGTGTAGGAGTAACGAAAAAGACGCGTTAAAACCGGTGCCAACTCCGGAGCACACGACTTCAGCACAAAAGGAGGGACTCCACCAGGCTCACTAGACTTGTCACATGTGATTAAGTTGATTTAAGAATGGTTTAGATTCACAATTTAACCCGGTAGATGACACTATTGTCGATATCCAGAAATCACCCATGCGAAGTCGTGGCGAATTGCTAGTTACTTCTAATACATTTTATGATCATTAATTTGGGCTCATTTAGAGAAAATTCTTACACTGACATGAAGATGACGATAACTTATGTTTATGATTATAATCATAAAATAAAGGATATTGCTTTAAAAACGATAAGTTAGTTATAATTTCTTTAAATTAAATGCTCTTTTTTCTTTGACTGTTTTATCTTGTCTTTTAACGTTGAAAGATTGCCATAACTTTTATTATCACAATCGTTTAGCCTTTTTAATTTATGAATTCTATATAAAAACCCGAATAAAAATTATTTTACCTACAAAGTTGTGAACAAATATAAGTTGAAAAAATATATTATCTTACGGTGGGTATTGTATAGCCGTCTATATTGTAAACAATGTATTATAACTATAGTAAATACCTACCTATTCTAGTGGTTCAAATATAAAAATGGTGAGAAACCGAAAAAGTTTACGATAC